CTATGCAAAAGGAACACAGCTCCATGCACGATACTGAGAATGAGCTCTTTCTTGAGCACGGTAAGCACATCAGTAATCAGTGACACCAATTTCTTTACAAAACTGAATCATTCAATAATCCTGTAGAAATTCACCATTACACTTTACCACTGCCAACCTTGGAGAGTGTCGTGCGACTACTTACAGAGTCAAGGAGAGTCTCATCAGGTCCTAGGTATTGTCATATCTTTGAAAAAACTCTTACGTGGTACGTACTCAGTTACATGATGGTTAATGGTACTTGTCTGATATGCAACATATATGGCTGTAGGTGCAGTGATGAGAGTTGCAATCTTCGTATGGTATGTACTTACACATCGTATTCTTAGAACAACTCATCAAAGTGTCTTTTCATTTTTACATCTACAGACTACAATTATGCGCATGGTTCATGACGCTGCTGTTATAGCAAGCCGAAAGTATACCATTGAGTGGCATTCACATGGTACATACTATCATCAGATGCTCACGTTTGATAGTAAGTTGAAGTGTTGACAATATTTTATTTTCATTATAGTGGATAAGTTCACCTTGGCTGCAAAAGCGGCATGTGAACACAAGGAGGTTCTTAATTCTGATCCATTCATGTGACCTCAGATTCCAACTCTGCTTGATACCTGTAACTTGTGAGATGCAATGCATCACTGTTCAAGTTAAGCCTGAGAGAACCTTTTTTTTTTTTCATGATATTCATTTGACTACTCATGTATGGATTGTCTTTCATTTTTTTCTGTCTCTCTTTTCCAATTTGCTTTAAAATTAACAGTACTACTTTCAACTTACGCCACTCATTTTACCTCTTCTTTCTATATTTTCATCACTGTTCCTTTCATTAAAAAGTTCTGTAATAATGTCTTAGTTGTAAGCATTGCTCTTTTGTCCAGCTACATTTATTATTAGTGTCAATTCTGACTGTGATCTGCAGTAAATATTTCTTTTGCGGTACAGTTTACATATGTTAAATGCAAGTCTTTGGAGATTTACAACAACCCTTACATTGCCAAATGAGCCATCATATGTATAGCTGAACATCTGCTTTATGTCCTTAGTATACGGCTGCCGATTTAGATCAATGATTGACTTCAACCTGATATGCAGATTGCACCTGGTTTAGCTTGGCCGCGATATGTTATGAAAGTTTAATAGCCCAAGAGCCAGGCTTGAGGGGATTACTGCAAAGACATAAGAAAACAGTCAACTGTAATTGTACCAATGTGGATATCTGACATTTTCTGATTCCCACTGATTGCATGCATGAGAGCATCACGGAGCCAGTAATTGACTTATTAGTAAATCACAATGATGATGCTGCCAAACATGACAAAACATATATCCATTTATGACTTTTGCATATCATATATTGGTACGCCTTATACCTTAATCATCTGCATTGCCACATCTCGAGGTCCTATCATATTGCTTTCATGATTCTTTTCCTATTCGGATGTACTTGTAATGCCTCTTTTAGTGAGTATGCGCCTGTTATTCAAATATAGTATGACCAACCATTCTTCCCAGTCTGATTTTACCTTCTGAATGTTCCAACATACAGTCTGTTCAATCATACTTCTTGCTCTGTGTGCAGTTTGTTTTAGCTGATAACATGGATTATTCAGTGAGTTACACATTTGTTGCGATATGACATACCTTCTTACCTGACAACTACAAGGCCTCATCGGTAAATGCATACTTCCTTCCTGTCAATAAGTTATACAGAGTCGCACTGATTACTGTATACATGTACACTGCGCATTGGGGACCTCCCGTTCCTCTACTGGACAATATTTTCTCTGTTCAAACAAAGGTCTACACTCGACCACTCTTTTTGCCTTCCGAAGACCCAAACAATGAATTGGTCATGTTCATGTTCTTCTACACTCATCCTCATCCCCAAATCATGAATAACAAATCAATCACTGATATTTGGGAAGATGAATTTCGAGGGGAGATCCTAATTTTTCATTTGGACAACACTCACCAGAAATTCGTAAATGTGAACATTTCAGATGACGCTGTTGGTCATCTTGTAGATGAGTTCATGCCGTTGAAAGTCATAAGGCAGAAATACTTATCTTTCTGCTATTAGGTTTCTGCACAGTTGCATTCCCCGAGTGAATCCGCAATGCACAGTTGCTCCTACAGATAGTGTTGCTTTCAGCAACCCTATTTTCTCCATAAGCCCGTACCTTTCTATCCTCGCTCTTTGTGATTGACTAGTACACAGATAAGGCTCATCTCGGCATTCTTTTTCAATAGAAACATGCTGGCATCCATTGTCCCAATTACGGTCCATCATTATGACATTGATAACAAAATGTCATTCTCTTTGATGGACACTTATTTTGACCAGGCAAGAGTGAAGTCTGCATTTTTGATTGTGCATAATGGACAGAAATATGTCAGATACTTTTTGCTTTATTCCGAGCCCCTTGAGGATATTGCTCTCGACGAGGATAGGTACAGGTATCAAGAAGGTGGCATATTGGTCTTTCATTGTGGTTACTTGTCCAATACTATTAAAGGGATCAATGGCTGGGAACAGACTGCGGTTACCGCAGCAGTCAAATAGTGTGTCTTCCTGCACCTGATGCACTTTGCCGCATCTAAAGAATTATTTAGTTTGATTTCCGGGAGCTTAGAAATTCTGCCCATGCACGACATCGCTGCCGATGTGTCATTGATCATGGATACACTGACATCTGAGAAGATTCCTTGAAGTATGTGTTTCTATGTCTCATACGCTTTGCTGCCATCTAAAGAATCATTTAGGTTGATTTTTGGGAACTCAGAAGTTCAGCTGACACGATAGATCGCTGTCGGTGTCATCGACCCCCAGATACATTGACATGTCAAGATCTTTTTAAGTGACAACTAGTCTCGTTCATTTTACATTTCTGTTCTCTCTCACTCTATTTGAATCTTATCCGATATTCTGTATAAAACATACTACCATCACGGTAGCAATGTTTCCTATTGTATTTGGTTTCTCTCTCCTTTAGTGTGGCACATTTTTATTGATGTTTATATCAGATTTTGCCCATCATAGGTTCATAGCCAGAGTGTGATCACATTGGCTATGCAGAATAAATCGAGGGTACTGATCGGCACATATTGCATTCTGCCATTTTCATATGATATATGCCTAAACTGCCTGACCGGCGAGATTGCATTCTCACTTTTTTTCCTCAACCTTCTCAATCTGTTGATTCGATCTGTTGCTTAAGTTAATGGTCTCTTTTAGGGTCTGAATAAACCAGTGCGACATATGCCTTGGCATTAAACTCAATCAATCGAGATATCTGTTCCTTCAAGATTGCAAGAGTCTTCTGCCATATTTACACTTGTTGCTGTTAGCACTGATCTATCTAGTCCTGTCTGAGCAGTGCTTAAGTCACACACTACTTAACATTGTTACCCTTGGCCATTCTCTCTGGATGCGACCCCTCGTACGTCTGCAAATACACGTACCCGTACAAAGTGTGATAGAAGTTTATACAGTAAGGATCAATTTCATGGCCCCGATTGATATGTTAAAACCTGCAGCTTTTTTATGCTTTGTCGAGGTATCAGTGCTGGGATACCTGTCATGGTAAGTAGAATTCAGCTGTCTTGCACATTTTCATATAGGTCACATTTCTATCATTTGCAACAATAGAACAGCTTTCCAATGTCGACACAGGCCTTTTGCCTCCTACTCTTGAATGGACAAAGTGTCCTTCAGAGATATTGATAAGAGAAATGGTGTGGTTATTGTCTCAGCCATGCCGGTAAGCTTGTAGGTTTTCATATACACCCATCTTTTTCCTTCATAAGTCTAGAGTTTCTTCAAACAGTATTCCTTATGGAATCCTCCATTATCGCATTTCTCTTATTTCATTGATTTACTGGGAAAGCTTTCGTGATGGACCGGTGTCCCTCACGTCTGATATGAAACTTATGGTTCAATCAATTGAAGCTAGCCTATGACTTTTCAGGTCTTCTTCTTCCGCAACAAATCTGCCTACAATAAGACTTTATTGTTACGTGCGATATAAGGTTGATGGCGAGGTGCATGCCCTGTAAGCAAATCTTGTTCTCTTATTGTTCTCTGCATGCAAACCTCATCAGATTGAAGCTTATCTGAACAACAATAAGAGTATCTCTGTTCAGCATGCGGTGTGTACTGTGTCTTCCCAACAGGAAATTTACTGAAACTGTTTGACTTGTCATATGCAGTTACCTATCATTGGAAATAGTAGCAATGTGTGATATGATCAAACACTTATTGTATGTGCTGCATCATCATTGTACGATATCTGATCTTCACTCTTGCACATGCACCTTTTCATTTTCGAATAGACACATCCCATTCAGAAGCCAGATAACATTCACCTACTGTATTTGTACTCACTGGTGTACGAATCCAAATCATATGTTCTCTTGTGCCTTCCCTTCTTAAGTTCACTTCTAGTGAAAGATTCTGATATTGAATATTTGGAAGTACCCTAGGTGTGGAGAAGTCGCATCATCCATGGCTCTGGTATATGACTGCAAATTAATCTAACCTCTGATGTATTTGTATAGTCAACACACCTCATATTCATGCATGTGTTTGAGGAACGTATCGTGCATCCTAGGCTGCAACCCTCTCATTTTACTTCTCATAATGGTGCGACTATTCTAATCGTCGACCTAGGATAAAAGTTCGTACCAGCTATTTTACTCAAATCAGATCCCGACACTTATAGTATAATTTGTACAGCATCTCATTTCTGCTGTCACTGTAGTGGCACTGATCATGTTCCGGAATGTGTATGCTGATGGCATGTATCATGAACCTAACAGTGATGTACACTTGCAAGATACCAAGACAGATCTAGACACGCGTATGTTTTTTGTCCAGTATAACTGCGCATGATCACGAACCCTTTTCAGGAAACAGAAATACACTTTATATGTTCAGCATACTTCACCTCTTACCCGTACCTTCCCTGTACTCACCTTGAAGCATTATTTCCATCCCTCACCATTTAATCCTATCGCCTTCGTGTCACAATGAGTTATATGGTCAGAAGAAGTCTTTGCTTCTTCACAAACTGTATCTAACACAGTCAATATCTAGAGAAGTCAGCTATTGGCGTACCTATTTTCTATGAACGATATCTGCGGTATAGTACCAGTCATGGTCAACACGTATTCATTGGATCAAGGCGTCATGATGCCTTTGCTGGACAATGTCTTCAATGTCAAGACTGATGTTTATTCAGAGGCTATGATGCTACGAAAGTCTTCAAACGGTCAACCTCAATACTTCAAATTGTTCTACACGCACCCTCATCCAGACGTTCCTTGCAATACCACTATTTACAACATTTGGAGTGCAGATTTTTGCGGAGAACTTTTAGTGTTCTTATTGGATAAGACACATTCTGCCTTTGTGGACATCGACAAGCTTGGCGATGTAGACCACGACATCGGCAGCATTGTCGCCGAGTATGTAAATACTGATGCATTGATCGTTCAATACCTCATACCTTTTTCTTTTCAGTTTTCTTCAAAATGAAGTACCGGAATGCTTTTATGAGCAAACAGTCTCCCCAGCTGAAGGAGCGGCACATATGACTCAAGTCTTTTCTGTAAGTTATGTTGCGAGCCTGTGAACGTGTCATTGTGCTAATTGTGTGCAGACTAGGAACATATCTGCCTTTTTATTCTCTGGTACTCCTACACCTTCCATCGTTCCTGTTTCTGCTCACCATTACAACATTGACAATGGTGCAACTTACCCCCTCACTCAGCACTATTTCATCGGTCGACAGGTTAACTCGGCACATATCATCGTACACAACGGGCTCAAGTTTGTTAGATATCGCATCTTTTATACACTCTACAACGAATCCACTGCTTCTAACGAGACCGTTCGTCGACAAGTAGGACAGAATTTCTACGGTGACATCCTCGTCTTTCGCTGTGCGTATCTTTCCGATACGCTCAAAGGAGTAAATGGCTTAGAGCATCGCACTGTTGTGAAAGCTGTGAAACGGTAAAGACTGTCTTATTAAACCTTACATACTGTCTGACCGTTATTTAATTTACATCTAGGTTCCTTCTGGCTTTGGAGAAGTCTGCGATGACTGATTAGACTCATCGAATTCGCTTCAATCCACTTTTGCACTGTATATTTATGACCGATTTATTTATGTGAGACCCGTTAGACATTCTGTGACATTTCGTCTGCGGTCTTTTCCAACACACAAGTCATAATAATTCCCAGTTTCGTATGATGGCCGTAAATGCTTCTGGGTATTGTTGAAGAGCTACGTTCTTGTGTTTTGTCCATGACATGTCAGGTTACTTTCAAATCATCGTTGAAATCCCACTCCCATTGTATTGCGCAATAAATAGCTATTGGCACTGAAGTCGGAGTTCGTTGCATTGCAGTGACGAAAGGGAATCGGATTTGGCGTGCCGCAGCAGCGCCCCACTTCACCCACGTATTAAAAGGTGGTCGTCAACCAATGGGGCGCCTCATGAACATTATTGAGAGCCAACCGAACCAAATCAAACTATTAATACCTCCTTGAACTTAGTCTTCAGCTTTAGCTTCAGCATCTGCGTACGACACTCGCGCACGACGTGAACGAACAAGCTATCGAATGTCTCGTCACTATGGCATGAAAATTCAAGTGCTCAGGCCCAATTCTCAGATCTCAGGACTCAGCAGTGCTTGATGCTTGACAAATACTGCAATGGCCTGCACAGATGACCGAATTTGCTGATAAAGCACCATGTTCTCACTCAGAATTCGGATGACGTTTATGTTGCGACCTTGGACATGCTTCCGACGGTTATAAGAAGGGCTCCTGCGGGTGGGGAATCCATAACTTTCGTACCTCTCGTTGTCGTAAACCTCTCAACCTTTCCATAGCCATGGCCTCTGTTCGTCCCGTTCTCGTCGTTGCTGGTATTGGGAATGCTACCGGTGGGCTTTAGACTACCTCCTATTCAACTGTATGTGCTAACAAGGAAGCCCAAAACTTATAGGTACCGGTGGAGCTACAGCGTAAGTACCATTGAACTGTAGGTGTCTCTTCAGGTACTAAGATACATTCATGGTCAGACGACTCTTTGCCAAGCACGGGTATAGAGTTGCTCTTGTTGCCCGCAACGCTGACCATCTCAACAATGCTGCCGCCGAAATAAACAACTCTGGCGGAGAAGTGAGTTCACGTCGGTCACTAAACAAAACGATGTCTAACCTGTCTTGTAATAAGGCTGCAGCTTTTCCTGTGAAGTCGTACACTTACCCCGAGATTAACGCTTTGTTCAAAGCTATCCGTGCTCACAATTGGCCTTCTCAAGCCAAAGCTGAGATTCGTGTGGCTCTTTGGAACGCCTCTCACGGAGTTTGGAAGAACTTCCTCGATGTCACCGAAGAGGATGTTCGAGACAGCGTCGAAGGAAACATCGTCGGACCCTTTGCTTTCTCTCGCGAAGCTATCTTGGCTTTCAAGGAGAATGAGCTCGACGATCGTGGACGACGAGGCACTCTACTTTTCACAGGTGCTACAGCAAGTATCCGGGGCAACGTCGTGACCAGTGCGTTTGCAGCGGGCAAGCACGCCTTGCGAGCTCTTAGCCAGAGTCTGGCGAAGGAGTTTGGCAAGCAGAATATCCATGTCAGTCTAATTCACAGACTTCTTCATATCATCATTCACTCGTTACTATTCTAGGTCGCCCATGTATGTTGACGGAGTATCTCGAAGTGTATTCCTGACCTTTCTTTTACAGGCGATTATCGATGGCGGTATTCTGACTGATCGCTCCCTTTCTCGCCATGAAGGTGACGCCCAGAAAGAGTACAAGAATAACTTGGATATCAGACTGAGCCCTGAAAGCATTGCTGAGGTAAATCAAGTCTCTAGCTTACGATGGGTTCTTTCGACTAACATCGTAACAAGTCGTATCTTTACCTGACGAACCAGGATAGGTCTGCATGGACCTGGGAGCTCGACCGTAAGTGATTTCCTCACTTTTGCAACCCGATCTAAAACACAATGTTCGCATCCCATAGTTCGCCCTGCTCACGAGAAGTGGTGAACGCGCATGTCGATTTTTATCCAAGCATTCGAGAGGTGTCCGCTTATGTTGTTTTCCTGATTCTGAAGTGTACCAATATGTAAAAATAGCAACGTTGTCTCGATTGAAAGAAGCATCTTCTGTGCAGTGCGTGTGGAGTTAAGATCGTGTGGAGGCTATACACGTAAATGGCAGACAGGTCGCAAATCAGTGTACGCTGAATATCGACAAATGTACTGTGGATCAACAGTGGGTCTATTCCGCGTACCTTCGTCTGCCACTTTTTCGCCATAAACGAAACACAAAGCCATCAGCGTTATGGAACTTGAGAAACGAGCTATTATTTACAGGGAAAGTGATCGCGAACACTTAGGTGCGTTTCCTCTTATTTTGTAGTAATCGTTTTGCATCCCATTCGGCTCGCCAGCGCAAGTATTGTGGATCGAGCCCACCATCAGGCCATATTGCCCAACTGTCTCGTACTCGGAACCAAGTGAATATGGGGATAGCTAGAAGTCCTGTTTTGAGTCGTCCGGGGAGACTTGTGGGTCTTCGAGAGGGGATATACTCGAGAGTCATATAATATACCAATCCGAAGAGGACGCCAACACTGAAGCCGCCCAAGACCTGAGGTGCGGTGTGGTATGACAGATGGTACCTAAAGCGTAAAGTGGTAACATGAGAATTTTCGACCTCATGCCAGCGAGTTGGGGTAATTACGCACCGAGAGAAAGCAACTGCACTTGACCATGATACAATAAAAGCGTGAAGAAAAAAGTCGCGAAGCCGGTCCAGGATCGGGTATCCAGTAGAAACGAAGCGATGTCGGAAGGTGAAATGACAGATGAGAAACGTCGCAAAGTATCCCATCCATTGACTATGAGACGATGGGAAGCCGTATCCGGAACCCATGTCAACTATTATTTCATAACAACCATGAGAAATGAGTGGATATTTTCGACTTTCATTCGAAATGTTTGGAGACTTACGATTCGGACGTTCTTGCTTAATGATCTTCTTCAGAATGTAGTTCAGACATTCACACAGCATCTGCCCAGCCCACATCTCTACGTAGATTAGCTCCCGAGTCTGAACACAGAGTGCTGCATATGCGGCCTTGATTGCGAATGAATGACGAAATATAAACGTTGCATGAGCTCACTCACATTGAGTAGGATTGGACTGAGCGTAAGTAATGCGAATGCAAGTGAGACATGTGACGTTTCATCATCTGCAAATATGTACGGTCATTGACTGGAATGAAGAAACCGATGCAACTTACACAAAACGTATGTAAGGTCAAGAGCAGAACGTGCCATGCGACTCGGACAGTGCTGGCGGATGATGTCAGTTAGAGTTATTTACTGATTGATAGCATAGTAGGTTTAGCTTACAAACATAAATATAGCTTTACTAAACAATATCTAAGTCACAAGTGTCCTCACCGCTATTGTTAACCCGAGCCCCACATCAATTGCTCAACATCCCGTCATTCGATCGATTCCGGACTTTCATATAAAGCTGACCGGAGTATTACCACTTTATGCTTAGACGACTTCAACAACTTCTTCCCTTTGTATCACTTTCTCCACCCGTTTTTCAGAATACCCATCGAGGACTATCTTTCACAATGTCAGGTAAGTATGCCATCTAACGAAGCAGAAAACTGCATCGAAATTATTTGGAACTAGGTGCCAAGCCCGAGATTGCCACCTTTGCCTCTGGCTGCTTCTGGGGAGTCGAGCATGTTTTCTTGAAGTACCATCCCATTGAGGAGAACAAGGGCATCTTGAAGACGACTGTAGGCTACACCGGAGGGAAGGAGTCATCAGTAAATCCTGACTACCGTACTGTCTGCACGGGTACTACGGATCACGCTGAGGCTGTTAAGATCGAATTTGACCCGAGTATTATCAAGTATGATGAGCTTGTTGGTGAGTATTCTCCTTGTATGGAGGTTCACGCCCCCAGCCGATCTTCATATACACAGAGTTTTTCTACCGCACGCATGATCCGACTACTCTAAACAAACAAGGGAAAGACACTGGAACCCGTAAGTCACTCGCTGTATGCGCGCATAGTCATTACGAACATTATAGACTGAATCCATCATTAGAGTACCGCTCTGCCATTTTCTACCACTCGCCTGAACAACGTGAAATTGCTCAACGCGTAACGGAGGAGGTGCAGAAGAAACATTTTGACCCACAGGGTACGTCATAACTACTTGCGTTCTTTTCGAAACTTCCTTGCTAACGCTCATTGATGTCCTGACCTTAGGCAAGAAGATCGTGACCCAGATTGTAGAGGCCGGTCCTTGGTGGGACGCCGAAGATTACCATCAAAAATACCTATACAAGAATCCGGACGGATACCAGTGCCCATTGCATAGACTGCACTGGTGATCTCTCATACATTCGCACATTTCTTTCTGCGGGGTTGCATTGTGAGGCTGTTGTAACGATGTGTACTTGTATGGTTTTCTCCTGCAATTCGTGTTCTCTTGGAATTATCTTATGACTGCGCAACGCCTCCCTCGGGGATCTTGCGACTATCGGACTTAAAGATCACGATGTTGGTCTCAGAAGGCACTGTGATTATAGTCTCTACTATCGACCAAGTTGTTGATTGCAGGCGGATCAGTCTCCGATCGGGGACTGAAATGACTATGATAAAACCTTAGCGTAACGAAAGAGGATGACATGCGGAAACTAGACTACATCTTCTGCTTCTCCGTTTCGATTGTTTCAATTGTTTCTATTTCAGCAGGGTTAGTAACATCGATACCCATGCTTTCTGCTATAGAGATGTTAAGGCCGCTATCGCAGTAATGACGGTAATGAACAACGTACCAGCAATCTGATTCACAGGACCAGTGAACCATTTCCTCGCACTCAAGAACCAGAAGCCCAAACAGTAAGTGACGACAATGCCAACAGCAACGATCGCATAATTAAGCGATTGGCTATTAACTGGGTTCTCTTGAGGAAGTATGAAAGCGATACTGATGAAGCCAATCCAAACGACAGCGACTAGTGCCACAGGGTAGGAAAATGAACCCAGGTGGAACGGACCTCGTTTGAATGATTCCCGATTAAGGACCCGGAGGAAGATTGGAATAGCGTATGAAATGTAGAGGCCAATGGTGGCTATTGATGTTGCTGCTGAAAAGGCGACTGCACTGCCCAGGCTTGGAAGAGCTAGAAGGAAGCTCAAAGTGCATGCGAGCCACACTGGACATCATTCATGAGCGTCCCGATTGCGGCTTCGAAGCACAGGGCGACTTACCAGTACGGACGGGAGACTTTCGCTTCATATCAACTTTGTGGAAGAATTTGTGGCCGGGTATGCCGCCATCTCGTGCAAAGGCGTACATCATACGACTGTTGGAGGTAACAGAGAAGGTCCCACAGAAGAACATTGCGCCAATGACGATCACCTAAGGATGTCTGATATGAACAATAGTCGTCCCCCGAGTGGTCAGATGTTTCCTCACCATTAAGACGATCGCACCCTTCTCTCCTACTGTATCCAAGATGATCTGGGCGACCGGCTGACCAGTTGGACTTGCGACGGTATGATCCAAGTCTTGAATGGAGAACAACAAACCGAGGATGAGAAACCACCCTAGCACGGCCGAGATGCCAATGGCCATAACAATACCAACAGGACCTGCCACTGCTGCATTATGGGTCTCTTCCGTCATCTGAAAGTAGTAAGAAAGTAGTGAGAAAGATGGGGAGAATCATGTGAATGAATATCTCAAGTTTCGGAAACATACATGGGCGCTTGCATCAAAACCTATCCGTTTCGTCTGAATTAGCTTTATCAATGGAAAAAGATATATGGCATGTTTCGTCTGACTGACCGGTCAGAGAATACTGCGCCATGAGAATTCCTATAACTACGACATATGCCGGACTAGCTCGTTGGCTCCAGCCAACACCATCGACACCTGTCTTATCAATAAACGTCTGAAAGACAAACTTTGCCGATTGATGCGACGGTGCCGCCGCAAGGATAGCGATAATCAATGCTGTGGTACCGACAGCATGCCACCAAATGGATATGTTATTCAGATAGCGCAGTAAGTGGACGCCGAAGGTATTGACCAGACCTTCGGGAACAACCTTCAGTATAGAATAGGCTGAAGTAGCACTCATCGCATGCCTTGTACAACGAGAACCGCTGCGAAGGTTCCAATAGTGGTTGCAGGGGTTGGTGTATAGTCAGTTTGGAAAGTCGCAACAGACGAGATAAAGTTCGCAGTTGTGAAGCTAGATAGCATTGCTGTCAATTATATGGGACCGAAGCTAAGGACGGAAAGCAGAATATTTACCTAATGCTAGTAGTTACAGCGACCTGACCGAGGAGGTTAAACCAACCTGTCACCCAAGAGGCGAAGGCGGCATGTTGAGGTTTAGATAGCATAGCCGCCCAGAAGTAGGGTCCACCACTCGTTGGGTGGGCGCTGCAGACTTCACCCATGGCGAGTCCAACCAGCATTGAGAATGTGGCTATGAATTGAATGAGAAAGTCAAGCATTTCTGGTGTATTTATGGACAACCGTACCGACCACAATCCACCCCCATACCATAACTGCCGGTCCGCCAGTATTCTGTGAGGTTTTAGTATAAACATACAGAAGATCAAACCGGCGGAACGCACAAGCCCGAAGAGAAAGAGAGAAGGCACCCCGGTGATCACACTGATGATAGAAAAGGATACGCCAAAATTCTGTAGCAACCCAGGGTTCATCCGAGATCATCAGCTCACGATCAACGTGAATGACGTCTTCTCAGTACCTGCAATAAACCAAGGTCGCGTCTGGCATAAGTTATTAGCAAAAAGTCAACGAAAACAAGTGTACAACATACTTCAACTCCTGCTTGTAACCCATCCTTGCCAGCTCGACTTCGTCGGTATTCCCTACGGATAAGACCGTAGTGCCAGTCGTAATTCGACCTTCAACATCAGACGAACGGCTACTCATTATGAGGTGCTATTAGTATCCTTGATGTCGGAAGGTGGTCTCAAGTGTGATGGCAGGGTAGGGAGATCGATGGGTGATCAATGCACACCAAAACCTTGGAGCATTTCAGGTCATGCTCCGTACATAAGGCTTCCGAATACTGGGTATCATGTCGTTCGCTATCAAATGATTGGTTCCACGTTGGGTCACGAAATGCAGAGATAAGGCTCCACTGAGCGCGTGACTCGAATGGCATGATTCCCTTTGCATATATGCAGAGGGAAAGACGGCGTTTGGAAAGTCAAGAGATTTGCACCATATACGCCGCTCTAGCCTTGACACTGGATGTTATTATGGAAATCGAGCATGGCGTTACAGTCATAGAATACGACGCAGCGGATAAGGGGGCATTGCAGATTTGGTATCTAGACTTCTCTCTGAGAACAAAGGAAGCAATCCTTGTGAACTCGAAATACGAGTTGGACGGGACTTCCCGAAGCTCCCAGTAAGGAAGGTCAGCGTCTGATTTCGAGCGCTGTTTATGCCTATTTTGCAACATCTCCAACGTAGTTACCAAATATGGATACCTCTATGAAATGTTATGAAGTCTGCGTCTCGCCGGTATCCTTCCAACGACCACGATCCCGACGGTGACTCTGCAAGTGGAATGCCATAGATATGTACCAGTCACCCAAATAAGAAGATCAAATCGATGGGTTCTAAGAGATCATTTGCCAACCTGGATGATGACATCTTGATCGCCGTCTTCGGTTTCCTGGATTTACATTCAATCCTTGCATTGCGACAGGCGAGTACACATGTATGGAGTATACACCGCATAAGCTCATTTTTTATGTTGAATAGACAAGCAAACGGTTCCAGGCGATCTCACAGCTTGCAGTCGTCTGGCGGTGCGCGTTCACAACCCAAGTTGTTGCTCGTGGATATCCATACCCACTAGAAGCCCTCTCTCCATCCATTGATGCACAGACGCTTGAGAAAATAACACGGCGCTCGTGTCGTATTGCTAGGTTCTGGCTAGACCCCTCCACTCAGCCGTGCTCGCATCAAGAGTTTCGTATGAAGACATCTACAGGGATTTACGAAATTCGGATTCTACCTGAAGAGGAACATGAACATTGGGGAAGGAAGCGATTTCTCACTATATCAAAGGGAATATGGTCAGAAATCTCATGCTGGGAGGTTGGAGAGGGCCTGATGCCGTTGCACAAGATCGCTGAGTGGTGTCCGAGGGGAGCTATTTTTACTGGTATCGCGGTGAACTCCAACCCACATTCTGAGGGTACAGTTGCGGTGTCGCTCAGCAACGGAGGGTCTGTCATTCTCATTCTTTTCTCCGACCTGAATGTTGACCTCCGGATGCAGCGATCAGACGATACAAGTCCTCTCCCTTCGGGTAAAGGGTGACGTAGTCGGGTTTGAAGTTATCAAAAGTTTCCAGACAAGCTATAAGCCTGTCTACATGGAAGGCGACATCCTCGTCTTCAGCGATGACGCTGTGGAGACCTATGTTGCAGATTGGCGCACGGGCGAAGCTGCTGTCTTAATTGGTTCTCAAGCCTCAACAGAACACAACTTTCAGGTCAGTTCAACCGCATGACTACTTTGTTGGATTCTGAGACATCAATGTGCACAGTACAACAAATGTCTGAAGGTCATCTTCGCATACGAGAGTGTCCTGGTTGTTCGAGCACGCTCCATAGAGCTATTCCCCGTCCCAACATTGAAGCCTTCTACTGAGGATGTACCTGTGTACAATTCCCTAGCCAGTCATTCATTCGGTTGGATGGATGGTGTTGCAATATATCCGCAACACCAAGTTTCATCAAAAGATGCCCGGAATTCAGCCTCGATCTGCATTGTCGTACGCTCAGAAAATGACGATCCTTGGTCCTCCGACATTCATACGGTTCATTTGTACCACCTCGAGGTCAATGCTTCATACGTTTCTTCCAGAAGAGCCTCTCCAGAGCTCAAGTCTATCAACTTGGAAATGCCAATGAACGGTGATTCGAATTCAGCGGAATCTTCCCCGTCCCCTCCAATGGAGTCACCACCTCTTGCGCCCTATGATTTCCCACCAACTCATTTGACTTCCTTCCCATCCATACGCGGCCGCCTTCGATGCACGGATATCCTTTCTGGTGACCACGGCACAGCCATTTGGATTCAACCTCGTCCTGCACACGACGTCAGCCTTACAACGTTCGACGTCCATTCGTCTGAAGCTCAGGTTCCGTATAGGGTTCCTGTAAGCAATGCGAGAGAAACGTTGCTTGGAGCGGTGTTTCCGGGTGTTCTGTTGAGCAGTAACGGGGAGTCAAAGGGGAACGGAGTGAGGATCATTGCCGAAAGGGAGAGGGATAGTGACGCGAATTGGACCGCGATGGATTATGACGAAATTAGGGGTTTAGTCGTTTTGGGATCCAGCGATGGACGCATCACGCTGCTTGGGTTGTGATGGCTTGTCCATGTGTGTTATCTCACTGCTTGTGGGCTCACAAATCAGAATTCCGGTTAGCTACAAGTGTCACTACCTCGAACTTCAAGTCGCCTGAATTTTACCATATGACATGCATTAGTGGCCCATCCAGACAAATATTCAGGGTCAGAATACAGCCTTTACGGAGGAATGGTTGTCTTCCGAGAGTATACTAGAGGCTGGAAGCGAGCCTAATATTTTATGTGGAATCGGGTTTGAAAGAACGAAAATCTAATTGGACTGTTGGTGTAAGGCCGTATGGGTTAGGGTTACTGAGAGGGATCCGGCATCTACCGCATCTCCGCTTAAATGGGGTCACCCGTAATTTACCGTCATCTGGTTGGTCGAATTCAGTATTCGCTGTGACTCTCGCACATAATTATGCTGTCGACATTGTTCTCGTCGTTCGTCTCGACCGTGCACTGCGACGCGCCGTCAGATGAGTCCAAAGAGGGTTTGAAGGCGCTGTCCGGTGAGGGCGAAGGCGAGGCTAAGAAGGAGCCCGAAGAAGAGGAAGAGGAGGAAGAGCCTGAAGATGTACGTGTCGTGGCGAACAATGTTGTCGATAGGCCTCACTGAATGACTTTGCAACCGCCAGATCATGCCTGTTCTACAAGAGGAATGCCAAGAGACAGCTAAGTGTGCGCCTCTTGCCAGCCATTTCGCGCACTGTGAGGAGAAGGTGAACGAAGGCAAGGGTTATCACGGTGAGGATTGTGTTGAGGAATTGTAAGTCAGGCTCGTTGAAGTGTGATATCTGCCGTTGAACTAACTGTTCCTTCTAGCTGTACGTTCGTTCCTAGCATTTACGTTGTATCCGCTAACCTAGTACACGTCTCTTGCGATGATGTCATCTTAAGACCAGTGAGTTTCGAGTCACCACATACACATGCCTACTTAATTAACCTCATTTTGTAGCTTGATGCACTGTGTGAACGTATGTCTCATTTGCACTACTTTTCTTGACGTTGTCGTTAAGTCGCTACTCGTTCCAGGCATGCGTCGCACCAAAACTGTTCAGCAAGCTCAAGTAGATTGTTCTGAGTTGAGGACGACTCTCACTGGTTAGTAATTTGCTTTTACTGTCTTTCGCGATGTCATTGACGCTGTTGATCTCAGGGTGCAATGTCACTAGAAATATTCTAATAAATGATTATTGCCTCAGTTCTATGAACGTGACTTTCCCTGCGTGACTTCGACGCAATGCAGTTTAGATCATACCAGCCATTCCTGCAGGATCTATGTCACCTAGCGCAGCACTAAATTCAATTCGCTTTTGTGTAGCTGTCACCTCCCGAGTCCGAGTTTTGTGAAACTTGGAAGACGTGGGAGAAGGTTTTTGACAATGGGCGTTACACCTCTTCTAGCCTGCTTGGTTAGTCTGTCACGCTTGGCTTGTTGTCGACTGCAGCAACTCTTGACGAAGCAACCAGAGGAAGCTAGGTACGATTATCATCAATATAAGACGTGCCAAGAATGTTTTCTCGAAGACCTGCTCCTAGTGCCGTGGTATGATAGCTACTCCTTCGTGCTCAGTCGTTGCCTCAATACTGCCACGTCACTGAACACACTATTCTTGCAGGTACTTGTTCGTAATTCATCATATTTTTGACCTCTTTACATGGGCTTGTGAGAAAACCGTTTCTTAGTGAGTGATAGGATACGTTATCGCAACCTAGAGGTGGATATCTGCTGATGCCTCCAGTTTGCAGCATGTACCTGTCCCCAAATACATGACGATCGCAGGATTGGTAGTTAGAGTCTCATCCCTGTTCGCTTTATCGGCGTGAATTTTCTGCGGAGCTGGTTGTTATTTTTGTCATGGCCTCGCAATCTCCAAATGTAAAAATCCCTGAAGGTCAGCCGTTCTTCAAGTTCGACATTTTTGATCCTCTTCAATAATTGGACACGATATGCAGGTCCTAGCCAACGATCTGAGACTCGGATTGAGCTCGCCGAAGGCTGTCGTGAGGCATTCAGGTCCTCCTCGCCAGATTACCAGATGGGTGAAAATACGGATACAGAATCTGACACGGGCTCAGTTCCATTAGTCCTACAGGATAGCCTGATTACTCATATGTCGCACCTCCGCCTCTCCATCCTCCTCCCGAATTGATGACGTCCTGGACAAAACCTCCATCTAACGTACCCGCGTCTACTAAACCAACAATTGGCACAAAGCGACCTCATCTTGATTTTCAATTGTGGAGGGCTCCGCCGCTGCCCCCTATGCCCAATCCAGCGTCCTTTGCAACCGCAAATCTGCCCTCGTTGACGACCTCAGGCCCTCAAACGAGTACATCAGTTCTCAACGCTCCATGTACGCCTATGGGAATGAAAGACGATACTGAAAGGGCTGCTGGACACGCTCCGTCACCATCACCCGATTTTCCTCCATCAAAGGCCTCGATGCCGATGCAGGCGATGGCTGAAATGGGGATGGACGTAGGTGACATGGGTGGTGTGAGCGGTTTAGTGGGGTGGGTGAGATAGGCGGGCTTGACGCGATGGGTGGACTCAGTGGAATTGGCGGTCCAGGTGGTATCGGGAGTATGGACTTGGGCGAAGGGAAGAACCCGGCGGAATGAGTGGCTTAGAAGGAATGGGCGGACTCGGAATGGGACTTGGTGAAATGGCTGGATTGGGCGGACTCGGTGACACGGGTCGAATGGGTGGTATGGGTATAGGAAGACGGTTGAACGAGAGGGTAGACAACATGGGCATGACCGGCGGCGTGGGTGTGGACACGGACATGGACGACGACCCTGACCGGATGTTCCAGGGCTTCCTTAAGACGCACAAGGCTTATGATTCGCTCGACCTCCCTTTGACACCAGGTCTGAAACCTCAACCGTCGGATGGTTCAATACGTATTCCAGGATCTTCCGGTCAACCAACAATGCCGACTTCTCCTGGCACAGACTTCAATATGGATGAGGTCGTCATCCTACTTGACAGTCAGAACTCTGTTTTCCAACCGTATAGCGAGGAAAAGGCTGCTAGGGATACACATTCAGATCTCGCGGGTCCATCTCAAGCCTCAGGATCAAGTCTCTTTGCTGCACCCTCGTATTCTTCCCCATTTTCAAACGTGCCCAGTGATAATGACTTTTATTGACCAAGCACTCACGGAGATGCGGGGGAAATGGCGTACTAGGCGATGAGCCAGCTAAAAATGTGCAACAGCTGAGGGAAAACGCAAAGCGTTCACGGAATAGTGGTGGTCGGCCGAGCTACTACAAACGTCTCTCGCCCGACACTAGGGCTTGCATTGATCGTCTCAATGCAGGTGGTCTAATCTCCTCCATGTCTATGCCAGGAGGAATGGCAGGCGTTCCAAGCCGTATGCCAGGCTTTGCACTGGGCCAACCACTGCGACCAGAAGCAGCAGGTCTTCGACCTTCCAATTATACGAAGCGAACTGCTAACGCCAATCTGCGGGGACGAATCCTGCATGCACGGCCGATTCTCAAAATCAAGATAGCGCATCCGCCGATCAACAGGCTGCCCGTCCAGCCCTGTCGCCACTGGCAGCACATTTATCTGCTCGATAAAATCGTGGTCTAGAAACGGCTATGCCTCCTGGCGAATCGCGTCTGTCAGAAATAGAGACAAACGATCCTCCCGCTTGTCCCTCCCAAATTCCAGATGCCGAGTCTTCTGGCTGTTCGAGTACACAACTGCTTGCAGCTGGAAGATCTATCCAGAGGAGTGCTCTTAATAAGTTGCAGTATTTAGATACTGTGGGACATTCGGATCCTGAATATAAGACTAGGCGGGCCCTGTACGAGAATCTCGCAATACAACCTCTTCCCATTCAAGTGAGCATTCTCCACTGATTGATCCTCTTTGTTTATGAGCTAAGATTTTGATCTAGAATCCAAACGTTGATATGCTCTCCGATCCCAATTTTCCCGAACCTCAGTCGCAATCGGATGCCCTTATATTCAGGAGACTGGACAGGCGCGTACAAATGGCTGGATTATGGTACCAGGAGCAGGTGCTGTTTGCAGAACAGTACAAGCATGAGGTAGACAGAGTGCAAGCCGAGCTGGCCCTTTTCCATGAGGAGTTAGAGGACCGTCGACGGTCAAGATCTAAAGGCAAGGCCCGCGCGACGTGTGTGTCGCGCATGTACAGATCTCGTTTGCAGTGACAAACCACTGGAACATTTTGAATACCAGCGATCCTCGTGCGTGCGAGACCACGCCCAGTAGTCTCCGTTGCTGCCTATGTTCGGATGACAGTCGATCCAAAATACCCGATCCGAGTGGCGGAATGGTATTCTTTTCCATCATTGTTCATTTTCATTGTTTACCCGGCACCATTGTTCTCAGAAAGAGGCCACACCACACGTGTCTGACTGTGGTTGACAATCAGATATAAGTACACGCGGACCAGCTGAGCATCCTCTCCAACATCCACTCCGTCCTCACCTCACTATCTGCTCAGTCTCTCGCTCAAAGTGCCAACACTGAAGAATTCAATCGATCAATGTCGAATACCAAGAACTTCAACAGGCCACAGGCCACAACGGACATCGACTGTGAGTGTGGCGTCATGATAAATGTGATATTTTCTGAAAGAATGTGTTTGACAGCCAAGTTAGGCGTTTTGCAATACGTCGAACGCGACATCGACAGCGATGCCGACGAGGAATTCGATGAAATGCTTGTAGGCGACATAATGAGACTGGAACGTTATGGAATCAAGCCCATGGAGACACCCCATGAGCTTCTGATTTATATTGTCGCGCGCGATCGCAGTTTAAACCGGGCCTACGAAGATCACAAAGCAGCCGAGAACCTAGTCAATAAATATCCTGCCCTAGTGCCGTTACTTAGAGAAGCATGCGAGACGAAAAGCTTCGCTAAGGTGCGATCTCTCGGTGAGGATATTCCCATTCTTTTCATGCATCTCTGTCGCTGAATATGTCTTTTCCGAAGCTATACTTCAACCAAAGCCTCGAGATGTCGAGGAACTTTGGAAGACATCGAATGTTTCAAGAATTCCCTATGAACTTGGTATCATAAACCCCGAGGAACACGCCTCACTCGATGAAGAGATATCTGCAATGAACATAGGGCCTGATTCTGTGGGGTTCTTGTACTTCATCATCGAGACGGCACAGGGTCGTGGGCTGAACTTGAAGTCGATGGAATATAGTCAGACTCGTGCTTACCTGCAGTCGCATCCCGAACTTGAAAGGATTATAGTGGAGCTGAGGAAAGCTCCAAAATCGTCACGATCATTCGCGTCCCTGAGACTCATATGTACGCCTTGATCCTATCGTCTCTGTACTGATCTCTGAGGTGGCTCCCCTAGGTGACTTTTGGGTGCAGCTTCCATACGCAGAGACCAAGGAACAAATCGTTGAGCAAGGTTTGTCTTCTTCCGTGTCTCGTTCTTTTGGTTACTAATGAACTTTGCAGAGGAAGGTATGTGACTTAGACCTCCAAGAAGCGGGAGCTCGTAACTCATTTAACGGTCAGCAATACGACAAGCTTGGACCACACAGTACGAAGGAAATTGCGCTACGACTCTATTATGCAGCATGACCGTCATGAACCAAAATCGCGGTACGCGGATGTATGGGAATATGCTACCAATCGTGCAGAGCTCAGGAATGGGAAAATCTCGCGCCGTTCACGAAGTAGCTGGTTCAATATTTACGTTGCCTCTTAATGTCCGTGATGACAGTCGAGCAAGTGCGTTTTTCTCGTGAAGTTGCACAGTGGCGTTTTAACTTACAGGAATGTAGTGTTTGCATTTCCTCGGGCCGATGAAGAAGTCCGTAAATTTTTGCTCTCACTAGGTGTTTTAGATGCTAGTTACTCTGGCGTCCATCGCGATATGCGAGTATTTCTATTGCACCTCTTCGACGTCACCCGACAGGTGATCAATGCTGCCCCCTTCGTGAATGGACACTATGCACGCCTCTCCGATTTAGCTCTCGCATGGCGAGATTATCTGGCTCAGGCTGTTGACGGCCCACAACTTAGGACTTGTCGAGGTGCCTTATACTCACAGGTAATACAGGTATGAATCCAAGTACATCACTAGTCGAGTTATTACATTGAACTGACGATGATCCAGAGTGCACAAACTGCCTTCGAGGATCGGAAAAAAGCCCTCAGCATGTTTACTGGGGATGCTCTGAAGGTGCAGATAGAGATAATGGACAAACAAGAGGTCACGTCTCTCATAAAGTCTGCCGAGGAATTAGCTCGCGCTGTCCAGAGTCTGGTTGACGAGAAGAATAAGAATGCCATCAAGATATTCCTCTATTTGGACGAAGCCAAAACCCTTTCATCACAAGACGTATCTGGCGAACCAGACTCCAACTATTACGACGCGCTCCTTTCAGCCCTCGCGGATCTCGTTCCTGTGGCCGGTTTCTTTGCTACTACGCTGTCCACCACTTCTAGTCTGTCAAAGCACGCTAGGACGGCTGAACAACACCACTCTGACCGCTGGATGGGGGATGCGAAGAAATCCGCCCTCCTTCAAGCCCCTTACACCGAACTATCTTTTGATTGTTTACCAAACGGAAAGCCGATTTTTTACCCGGGTCAGATGACACTCGACGAGATTGCATCCGTTGAGTATATGGTCAAGTTCGGCAGACCTTTGTATGTATCTCTTTGATTTTTTGAAGCGGCGATGCTCATTCCACATTTCACCAGGTTTTGGACCCAGTGGAACAATGCTACCGTAAATTCCACAACTAGGAACAACATGATTAACTTTGCCAGGCACAAACTCACTGGCCATCAAGCTCCATCTCAGAGAGGCGGATCGAGGGCCCTTTGCGGAAACAGAGGCGGCAATATTGCAGCTATTTCGACTCGCGTTCTGCTGGACTTCGAACCTTCTAGGCAAAGAGCTCGCAACATGGAAGCCGGTCTGGTTGAAAACCACATGCGGGTTGCATTCAGCGTCCCGATTCATCGTGAATATGTTCGTTCTGGAACTCCGTCGGAGCCTATTCTCGCAGAAGCTGCCGCCCAGCACATGGATGACTCGATGACGGAGGACATCACTGTGACGGAGGTGGCTAGCATTTTTGAAGACGGCATAGTGAATAAAGGCGAACAAGGAGAACTTGCAACGCGGCTCCTCTTGACCCTTGCATACGATCGTGCTGTGAAAGCGCATTATGGTGAATCTCATGCGAATAATCTGTACAGTCAAGGCGTTCCCGTCGTGAAATTTCTTCAGGAACTCTTCTCAGAGGATGTCATAGAGAGCATACTTCATTCCTATCCGGAGGGATGTCCTGGAAGCACACTGGAGGAGGCATTCGAGGATGGATGGGTTCGGTTCACGCATTGGGGGCGCTTTGGGAACGACAACGAAATCGACACTGAGGCGGCGCTCGCGGCCTTCGCTAGGGGTATGGCCATTCAGGTTAAGCCCATCCAGGCCGTCATCGACTGTGTTGTGCCAATTGTTTTCATTAAAAACCGAGCGGAGACCAAGATATCCGAACGGGAGGTGACAGCCGTCTTAATCCAGGTCAAGACTATGGAAAAGGCGGTGACGCTCACAATCGATGCCGATGGTAGAAAGAAGAATAGCAACCCAGAGGCGAAGGTGCTACAGTTCTTTCCCCTGAACTGCACGCATCATCGGCCATACATCACGATTCTCATGCAACATGCCATTCAGACCGCCAAGGTAACAGCTAGATATCAACCCTTGACAGCAGAGCAGGCTGCGAAGCGTCCGCCGTCGCCTTCGAAAGTACTTCTGAAGGGGAGAGCTTCGACTCGTCATACTGCCGACAACACCAAAGAGGGAGTCAAGAATAATACCACTCCTTCAGAACCGGCCGATACGCTTCATCCCCGTTACGCAATAGATGTTCATGGGTGCTCGCCATCTGTATACGGTGTTGTCACCCCAAAGCAGACAGCACTTTGGGCGCAACTACTAGCGGCAAGAGGTCTACTGGCCGAACACGCAAGACAACAAGACGAGAACATTTCAGTTTTGAAAAGTTTGAAGCCCACATGGATTAGGGGTCCCGAATGCTATGGATATACCGCTCAACCGTTGATGAACATATCGTCGCACAAGCCGACTTGAGTCTGCTCACAATGTCCGGCTGTCATTTTGAGCAGTGTCACTTTTTGATGATTATCTCACCTTTTATGTCCTCTCTACCAACGTCAAGAGATTGTAATATTCTTCGCCGATGTAGCAAAGATCTCAATCTCACTGCTGTATACATAGATCAAAGCCCAAAGTCTGCTTGTCTTTACTTCGTCAATCAATGATTCATCTGAATGTTTTGTCTCGAACAAAGTCGGCCTTCACTACCACCTAAATTACCCCTGCAGGAAATCTCGGTTATTTTGGACATTCTTGCCAGGCAAGGTTTTTGAAAAATTATCTGGATGTCTCCTCTTCGTTGCGGTGAGTATAAATGCCAAGCCCTCATATACTGATCGATGCCGATCAACTGACCGACTGACTGCCACTACCACTCACCGACGCCCTTTGTCCCACTGCTCGAGCTTTGCGTTCCCCCACATCCTCAACGTTCAATGCCTTTCTCCCTCTTCCCTCTTCCCTCTTCCCTTAGTGTGCTTCGTCCCCCTTCAGGATCGCTGATCAGTCACGTCTATGAGCAGAGAGGCATGATGTAAAAGTGAGTGGATCTCTCTGCCGTCACCAGACTAGTACCTACCCGTTTGTTATCCTCTGTTCAGACTTCGTACATATATAGCCTGTCTGTGTGAGAGGACACCTGCGAATCGAATGACCTGCGAATGAGCCGTGGGGACACAAATGCAGGGCGGCTAGCCAATGTTCTCCCAACGACTGGGGGGCAGGTTTTTCTTTCCAGAAGCAAGGCCTTGTTGCTCTCCAAGGAGCCGGTGATCCACCTCGATGACAACCGTGCGCCATCTCAACACGCACCTGCTCCTACGCTCCAACTCATCGACCTTCCGTTTCTGATGTTGAGTCTATTGGTACCTTCCGTTTCTGACGTTTGAGTCTATTGGTAGATGTTACAACCCTTAAGTAGGATGCTCGGGAGCCTGCCTACCCATGTGAGTCGTTGCTGATGGACATTTATGTCTCATTGCCAGAGGCTCACTGCATGCATGTGCAGCTCCCTCCGCCCCAACCTCTCATGTTCATTGGGAGCAGTCGTGCATTGGAGGAGCCCTCGAGTTCCACCCGCATATGCTGCTGGTGCCGTTCACCTTCAATAAGCACCGCCGTTCAAGTCAAGCAATGATAAGTCCAGGGCCTGCAATTTCGCAGCGGACTGGATCGTCAACTCGGTCAATGCAGCCTTCGCCTACAAACTCAATACATGTGCGACCTTCGAGGGAGCTGGATGACAACTACGATGAGAGGTTGCAGAGACTCTCATGCACCTCCACTGTGTGGAAGAGTACTTCGTACTGGGTTATGTACCAAGGAATATACTGATCGACCGGAGAGGTTGAGAGACCTTAGGGAGAGAAGAAGAAAGAGGTTGGGGCCGTATAAGATGAAAATAATTGAAATAGAATGAATAATAATAGAACAAATGAGAATCGACTAAATGAACTACTCAGCTTTCATTCGACAACCTAATATAGTAATAATTTCAACCACTAAGGTTCAGAAATCTGATATAATACCCGATACTACACAGGGAAGGTACTAACAACAGATACGAGAAGCTTGCTACTCACGAGATGAAACAATGATCTTACAACTTTAGAGAGACAAATGTGAGAGAGAGTAAGTGGGAGGAAAAGAGAGATGCCTTTTCTTTTGGAGTTTCATCACATCTTTATACACAGTATTTTTTCTAGAAAAGTCCCTCGCACTGTTCTCTTGGCTGGGAGTCTCATTGGGATTTGTAAGGCAGGAATAAGGGAGAAAGAAGGAAAGTGATGACAGCGAGTGTTACAATCGAACGATACCAGGAAATTTGCTGAAAGCGGACATTGTCTTTATATGGATAAGGAAATAAGTGGAAAGTGTGGAGTCTTATGACAGAAGGATTGAAACGTCTTTTGCCAGTTGGGTGTTCTAGGAATAGTTCCCGATATCAAAGATATCTGCCCTTTATTTACATGCACTGACATTGCCCAAGTGTCGCAAAGGGACAGACAGTGATGATAGGTCATGATACATCTCCCAAGTGTCCCGCGCAGTTCGAGAACATTGAAGAGAAAGAAATGAGAGATGGAAAATGATGGAAAATGCAAAAATTACAATGAAAGATCTGCCTGCATCTCATTTTCATATATTCCGAGTGGACGGGGACCTATGAAATGTTCTGTGTTTATGATGTTTTAGTATGCTTCTGCAGTATTCACTACCACAACTGGTATCAACCTTTGGATCCTCACAGATATCCTCCTCCTCCATCTGGTGCTAACATGAATGGCTCCATCCATTCTCCATCCATGAACTGACTGCCTCAAGATTCCCCCCATATAGTGTTGAGGTACCCAACCACAGTGGTCAGGAATTTGCCTCTCATCAATGCAAAGTGTCCTCTCAGTCCAGATTCTGATGACCATACTGAGATGAAGCATGTAAAGGTTGGTAGTGTGAACTGTCATAATGCTTCATCATCAGGTGGTTGACCTACACTGATCCCTTCTCGATGACCTTCGCCTATTCCTTTCTACCAGCAACCTACGTCACATTCTCCAGAGTCTCATCAAGTTGACAATTCGAGTTCCACTATTCTGACCATGCTTCCACCTCACCTTCAACTGCTAGGTGCAGGCTTGACTGGACACACTTCAGTTGGTCCTGATATGCCTCTCCCTTCACTGAATACCTCCTTGCCTTCATCAATGGAGGATAATGATATGGGTTTATCTCACTCCGCATCTCCACTGAGAGGACAGGACAAATGCGAGATCATCCTGCATTCTACTGGATCATCGCAAGAACTAAAAGGGATGCCTTTGCTGAGTTCCAGTCACTACAGTCATATGTCACACTTGAGTAGAGGTGCTCAGTGATTTATCATCATCAGTTATTGATTAGAACCCCTCAGTTTTCTTTCTTATTGCATCCAAAAGTATATCCTTGAAATTGTTTTGTAGCATTCATTGATTTAGCCATCATCATTATTATACTCACACCTACAGATGACTTGCACATTCTTCCTTGCATAGCATCTTGCATTATTCTTATTGTCCACTAATTGTTAGAATAATAGCATGTATTAAAAAAAATAGCTCTACAAAGATTATCAAACAACTGAAAGTCTACATTATGAGAGATAACTGTCTGCTGCAGTCAGAACTTGGGCAACAAAGGTGATGCCTTTCTTTTCTTCACATTGGCCACTAAAGTTGTAAGCAGTGTACTATAGCTCATACTTCTCATGCAGAAAGCAGAGGGCAAGTGAAAGATCTCACTAAGATTTCTTTTTGAGCTTCAGGATAAGCTCAATAACGTGCATCCAGTGGCTTACTATTGTCTTGATCATCTGAACATTCCTCTTTTACTTGGCACCTTATACTTTATTTATAAACTGAATAGGAAGGTGACTGCCTAAGCTATTAGCATATTTGATCCAAATATCTGTGATACAGATCAGCAACTGAAAGTGGTAGATTGAAAGCCATTCACCATCTTTAAATAACCATTCTGAATGACACCTCAGGTGATCATCATCAAAGTGACTTGCCAGTATGCACCACTTGATAGTGTCAATATTGTTGTTATCAGACATATCTCTACTTAAATAATGCTGAGCTGAAGATGGAGGTGTAAATATTTGAGTCACTATTGAGATAGAGGGACTATTTGAGGATATTGGCTGCTCACTCAATGGAGTGGCTGTAGTTACCTGAGATGACACTTGAGCTTTAGGAATGGTTGGCCAGCCTTGGTGAAATGCTTACAGTGAATTCACAATTGTGATATTGACATTGAAGTGTGTGGAGTTGATGAATGTGCCTGCCGAATATTCTAAAGGTGAAGGTTGAACTGATGTAGCAGAAGGGAGTTGCACTAGTTCAATATTGTGAATATTTGAATAGGCCACTAGAGGTGGCATAGTGAGGCTTGGCATTTCCTGAGTGAGTGAGACTAGAACTGAAACAGTGCGAGACAACAGAGAAGCAATAGCTATGGCTAAAGTTATAGCTACAGGCAAATATGTAAGAACACATATTAGAGACCTATCACTGATGGTGAGCTATGAGCCTCTTGGAGCATCTGTATGCTTTTCTGCAGATCAGCAATAAGGCTCATTGCAGTCTGATATCGCTGAGTGCTGGTTCTTCTATCTTCGCTCAAGGCCAGGTCAACAGTTGAGATGATCTCATAAATTGTCTGGGTAAAGTTATCAGAAAGGTGCTTCAATGCATGATGGGCCTTCATCTTAGCTACTTGAATCTGCTCATGGGCATCTGCAGTAAAGGAATAAAATTCTGGGCTATAAATGAGAGAAAGTAAAAAAGAGATGCATTTAGTGCATTTGCATATATAGCTGCCATGTCTTGCACCAGCATATATCAGAACCAAATGAGAACTTGCAGAAACTGCAATAGGGCTATATCCTTCAGCAGCAGATCTGCTTACTTGCAAGTCTGCAGTGATTGAATTTCACCCTCAAGCCAACAAAAAATCTTCATTTCAAGATAGAGTGAAGGCTCTGAAAGAGAGAAAGAAAGAAATGGTCAGAAGTCTGTTATATCAGATTGTGCATACTTCAGATGCTTATTAAACTTATCATGAGTGATGAAGTAGCTGGCTCATTGTTAACCATCAAATGTTGCTGCACTGATGAGTGCCTTCAATGGCAGCTGGCAGTCATAGCATGAACAGAATGAGCCACTCTCACTTTACCCTCTCAAGGCCTTCATATCACTTGTGGAGGCACTATGACTTTGACTAGTTTGTGCCGCATATGCCTGTCCTATATGAGTGACCTTCATAATTGAGATATCATTTTGCAAATGCATGCAGTTGACATGCTCACAATAATCTAGAAAGAGCTCATCATTAGGAGCAGAAATAGAGGCTATTTTATACATCTAAACCTATTTTTATATGACATTTTGATGTTGACTAAAGATATATAGAAGATAAAGAACTGATACCAGTTATATCAGTCATATTCACTGAAGCTGTGATCACTGAGATCTATTGCAAAGTCAGACACTGGTATCTGCAGAATGTGGAAATGTGCAAAGAATTGAAGTGCCAATATGCCAATAGGGCATAGGTAGATATCTCGATGATGCAGAGCTCCAAACTCATCAATGTATCTCTACTGGTTGTACTTTGCATTATCTGCAGGAAAGTCTAGGGCCTATGCAGAGCACAAGATAATTAGTGAGAACAGGCAGGCACCCCTCTCAAGGAAGTCCTTACTGGGATCTGATGACCCTGACCAATATTGTGGCATGAAATCTGCTTCTTTGACAGATCTGATCACTATAGTAATTGTGAGCTGTCACTATGAAATGTGGTACTGGTAGAGACAAGAAGCATTGCACAATGTAAGGTAGGTAGAAGGCTGATGCATATCAAGATAAAATATGGTAGCATGAGGAGAGTGGTCTCTGGCAACTTTGATGGGGTGAAGTTCTACTCATAACAGTAAAAGAGTTTTAGTTTAGTGCTCGAGGAGAGTACTGTAGAGTATGGGCAAAGAAATTATAGACTATTGTCAGTCAGAAAAGAGAAACACTCTCAAGTAGAATGAGAGGTTAAAGATTTTCCTTCTGCAGAAAAGTGTCCAAGTGAGATGTTACATCAGGGCTTTCCTATTGTTCATTTAGGATGAGAGAGGTTTACCTTGTAGTCTGATAAGAAAATAGACTTGACCAGTTATATCATAGGGATAGTGTGATCACAAGGTTAGTGAGAGCTTAAGTAAGGGTACTTTAGAAGTCACTAGAGAGATGGAGGGTTTAAACTAACAATTTAATTTCAAAGACAACTCAAAGATACACAAAGATACAATGACCAACTTTGGAGGTAAAATAAATAATAGAATAATAGAGATGTTAGTGACAACAAAGCACTTTAGACTTCAACTTGAACTTTACAGAAAAAGAACTTCAAGTTTAAGAGTCTTTCAGAGTTTATAGTGACTTTCAGTTTTTATTCAGAATATAGATAATTTAAAAAGAATAAAGAGATATATATGAAGGGGCACACTCTACTACCCAGAAACAGAGGCTCTATTTATACAGAAAGGGTGAGAGGCTGTGCATATCTAATAGGGGCTTGCAATAACTTATAATGACTTGTTATGACTCAGAATAACTCCAGTGACTCAGAATAACTTCAGTGACTCATAGAGGCTTGTAAGTCATAGTGACTCAATGGTCTAGTGCTTCAAGAATAAAGAGTCCATTCTATAGAGAATGGAGAGCTCATTTATCGATTGATCGAGATTTGTTAATCATGCATCAGATATTGAGATCTTCTGATTGGTTGATGCATATATGACCTTGTGGGTCCACTACACCTTCCTTTCTTGGACTTCTTATCTTATCTGATGTCACTTGGAGATTGCCAAAGTTGAAGGTTTGATTAACTATTGTTCAAGAAGCAGAGTCGAGTGCCGCACTCTTCTTTTCTTCAAAGACCGCATTCTTCTTTCTGAAGTGCATACTTGC